GCTGTATGGATGCTCCCCAGCACTAACTTTTTGTATGAACATTTTTCATATGAACTCCAGGTCACAACTTTCAGTAGTGTACAGATTGCATCCAGGCAGTTACTGTTATTATTACTTCTGATTTCATTCGTATAAGATCTATTTTCCATAATGAAACTTTAACATCAATTATTTAGAAATGAAGCCACTATAATGCACAGGCACAAAATAAATCAGCAACAATCTAGAAAAGTTCAATAATATATTTCTCCTTTGCTAATTAAAAAAAGATAAATCAGGAAAGAGCTGGTGAGTTCAAACTGCCTTTCAGCCTTCCAAATTATGAATTATGTATTATGAATTACAGTTCATGGACAAAGTACTACTTGTTATTCATCAGTTTAATAACTTAATTGTAAGTGTTTTATGCTAAACTATTCAAGATGCTCAGCATAAACAATGATCCAGAAAAAAAAAAAAAACTCAGCCTAATCAAGAAGCCATTGACATCAATGTAGGCTTTCAGAATGATGCTGGTGGCTTTTGGAACAAAGTCTTCATCCATTCGTCAGGTTGTTGACAAAACGATGGGTGCTGGAGAACAATTTGCTTCCAATGTTAGAAGTTAGTCATTGTGTAGAGGATGCAGGATGCACAGAAAGGGAAAATTTGACATTATCTGTTCTATACATTTATATATAAGACCAAACCAAACTGCAATAAAATGAAACGGCTTCAAGCAATTATCCTTACCGATTCAATGCAAAAGCATAATGAAATTTAATGTTGTGCTGATCTGCCAGATCACACGTTGGAAGCATTTCTAGTGTTTCTACCAGCTTCACCATAGCATCATAGTCCTGGTAGGAATTAAAAAAAAAAAAAATGAAGACAACCTCTGGCAGAAGAAAGTATCATTAAACTAAACATATCATGAATGCTAGACAGTATCTCAGTTGATTGCTTCTAGTAGAGGCAGTGGCACAGACATGAACTCTAGTGAAAGGCATTAAGGAAACTTTGTCTATCCATATGAGAACTTGCCTCTCCCTCACCTCACCATCACTGCCCAAGTTAATGAATTCCTGAATTCCTGGGACCAGCTGCAGCAGTGATCAGATACCTGACACTGCTAAGCAGAGTTTGTAAGACCAGCTTTTCCATGCCTAATCAAGGACTGCTGGCAAACACTTCATCAGGTCACCACAAGCTAGAGCACAGCTCATTCTGCAGTACATCAGCTGCTTGTGCATCCATTTTTTTTCAGAGGTTACTCTGAAAAACATGTCACTGAAATGGCCAATGCACTGAGAGGAGGCATGGCCTCACGATACCTAGCTTCTTCAGCCTATGGCTGCAGATGAACACATTTGCCAGGGGAGAAGAGCTTTCAAAGGCACACAGATGTAACCAGCTGGGCCAAAGCTCACAAGAAGTGATCAAAATGAAATTGGATAAAGCTGCTGCAGAATAACCTGCAACCTTGAGTGGAAAGTTGGGTGATGACACAGGTCAGCGACTGCTATCATCACTCATTTAGACCTGTCAAATAAACAGCTCAGAGACTTATGGAAATTTTTTCCATAGAATGGTTGAAGTATATTTTAAAATGAATGCCATCTAAACAGATTAACAGTTCACAAATATAGTATCTAGGCTGTGCTTTAACAAAAGTAAAACTTAATTGAAATTAAATTAAAAACAGTGCAGTTGTTTTCCTTTAAAAACAAATGAATGCTGCTTTTTATAGTAGCTCTCAAATTGGGCTCCTGTGGCAAATACTGTGGTCACAACAAATACCTCTTCTTAGCTTGCAAATATATTAGGGGTTGCAGGGAAAGGAGAAGGAAAAGGAAAAACAAAAATCTCACTTCCATAATTTTTCTGTGTTTCTTTTTATTTTTTTAAGGAGGTTAAAATGACAGAAAATTAAGGAGGGGAACTCAGGAAGGTCATCTCATCTATGTCTCTGGTTAATTAGGAAAATAAATAAGCTTTTAAAACCTCTAAAATGGTCCAGTATGCATGTCAAAAAGTTAATGACAATGAAACAACATAGTCTTAACTTTAAGTCACCGTTTAACGAACAATGAAGAACAAACAAGAGCCAAAACCACACAGTAAAATAATCTTTCTGAGTCCTTAGGAGTATACCTGAATATCTCGATAGGAAAGAAGCAGGTTGATGACAATGTCGGAAGTCAGCACTTCAGTATTATCCATACGAAGCTTAATTCTGGCCAACTCCTTAGCCAGTTCATCCCCTTGATACTTCTCTCTAGCTTTTCTAATATCATTTAGCAGTGTTTCTTTATAATAGGCGCTAAAGAAATAAAAGATACACTTATGAGAAGAAAGCTATTATTTCTTTTTTAAATGAAACATGGTCATACTTCCAATAAAAATAATTTCTAATAAAAAGTAAAATTTACTTATCAGAACGATGTGTACAATAAATCTATCCTTTAAGTCCACATTTTAGCATTACTTCATTATATGTATTCCATCTTGCTCTGACCAGTCTACAGGACAATGTCTCAGTACACTTATGATGAGGACTGTGGGATAATTTACTTAACTCAGTAAAACTGGAGGATTTTCTTGATTACTGACCATTACAGATGTGGTATTTTGTATCTTTATCCTAAAGAAGGAAACAATTGAGATGCTAAACTGGGACACTGAGGAAAGACTACGGCAACATAAAAAGGAGGTAAGCAATTTTATAAACCAAAGGGGTTAAATGACTTTGAAATAAAGTACCTAAAGCAGAAACAAGGCACCAAAAACTGCCTTCTTGTAGTTTATTTGATGAATGCAATACATAATGGGACAGCATCTACGTAAAATCCCACAGTAAGTTTCTTGCACCTTATTGGTACTAACATCAGTACATAGTGCCACATGAGCTTTTCCAGAATACAAAAAGAAATTTGAAAACCCACAACTTTTTATCAGTAATGACAACAGTAAACCATCTGGACAGATTACTTAAAGCTAACATCTGGAGCAGTTTATGGGCTTAGAAACTAACTGATGGTATGTGACAGGTAGTCAAGTACACACAATGATATGTTGTTTACAGAGTACTGCAAGTATTCAACATTGCTTAGCACTAAACCCTAAACATAACAAAAAGAACTTAGTGCTCTGTTGAAAAATCACAGCATATATAACATGTAAGACATGTTTATAATATCAGGCAGCAAGTTCTCAGTAAGCTAATAATGGTAATATTAAAAAATGCAGATGAGTTGCATTTGATTGTTCATTGCTGCTGTATGTATATACCTAATGGCGATAAAAAGGAAAGAAAAAAAAAAAAAGAAAGGTCATTGAGCTCTATGAAGAGGCTGTGATCTCATCTTTTTTTGTAACTTCCAGCACTGTAATTTATACTTCAGATTTTTATCTTATCCATAGACCAACTCTCCTTACTGATGTTTCAGAAAGTAACATAAATCACTTCTACTATAACTTGGTTAATTCACTGCAGCAGTTACACGACAGGGATCCTGTAAGCAGCAGTGACTTCTTTAATACTATATTAAGTGCAGGGAAAAATCTATGTGACTAGAGATTCTGAATCTTTTTGTATGACACTAAGAAGAGAGTATAAATGGTTCTGGATATGTATGTGTTGCAAAGTTACCATGATGTAACATGAACGTCCTTGAGAAGGCTGATAAACCGGTCCACGAGTGGGACACAAAGTGGCCCCAGGATATTGTCCCAGCTGGGTTGCATATACTCAGAAGCTCTTCGCTGAGCATCGCTTTTACAACAAAAGTAGTCAGCACTAGGTGTGACAATGTATGGAATAAAATAATAATTCCCACTGGAAGCCTAAAAGAAAAACAGACACAGTTTAGAAACAAATTAAAATGGAAACCTGCTTATATACATAATCTTTTCTTGTCAAAAAAAAAAAAAAAAGGACAAAAAAAGCCTGGCTAGATCAGTGCTTGTGCATCACTAGGCTTTCAAGCACCGTTTAACACAAGATAGGCAGACATTAAACCATTAAACTTGAGGGGTTTTTTCCGTATGGGAGAATTACACATATGAACGAGGGCAATGAATAAGGGTCTAGACCTGTTAAGAAACAAAACAAGAAAACTTTGATTTTTTTGATATTATACACAAACCCTAACTACAAGTCTGACAGGACAAGCTAACCTCCTGCTCTCATATTCTTGCAGTCAGTGAATATTTATTTGCATCCTCTGGGCTTAATCTGTGCTTGCAAAGATATGATGTAGAGCACACCCCAAATGGAGATGTTTAACCAGAAGAGTATAGCTGCTGCGTGCTGCCATCAAACACCAAACCAAATGCAATACTGAAACAATTCAAAATAGATATAAAATTTCTAACAGAAAATTCCAAAAATGAAAATGAAAAACTGTTAATAGGCCACAGAATGAGCGAAAATTTGATCAAGTGCTGAAAGGGGAGATGACAGAAGATGGGAAACACCTTTCAGATCCCAGAACACTGCAAGTTCAGATTCATTAGCTCATGAACGAGATCCTCCCTCAAAAAAAAAAAATAAAATAAACAAAAAGAAACATAAACACCTCAGAGATTTTCTATTATTACTAGAAACACCAAAATAATTTTGACTATGCCGATTCTCAACTGTTTAAGAGAAAAATAAAACACAGCCAAAGTATGCCTTCATAATAACTGGGAGGAGCCCTGAAGGATGGTGTCAGTGTGACACAACTAATGCAGATTACTATCACCCATATTCTTGCCCTGTCATCTCGGAGGCAAGGCAAGCACCTAAAGCCACATCACAACTCTTATTTTTCCAGCATACCATCTAGACCTGCAGTAAATTGGCAGCCATTTAAAATCCCCATGAACAACAGCAGAATGTCAAGATGATCAAAAGTATGGATAGGAGACTATAGTAGATTTGTTTATATATTTTAATAGACTAGACAAGTGAAAGAAAATGGTCATCAGAAATAATAATTTAAAGCATGCTGTTAGAGATAAAGAATGACAAGAAACCCATATCTGAGACATCCTGTTATGGATCCAAGTCTGTTACATTTTAGAATTATAAATTATTTCTAACAGATGAAGACCATGCCACATTCCTCTTCATGAATAATACAGTACGCCATCTCAAAGGAAATCATGATTTGCTGCAATGCTACCCATATTTTCTACCAAAAAAGGGAAACTTTGTAACCTAAACAAGAATTTTAGGATTATTTAGTCTGAGGTTTATTTAAATAAATATTGAGTTCACAGCAATGAATACTAAGTTCACCACTTGAATATAAATTCTATTCTTAAACCTCAAACAGTGTTTAGCTCTTCCTGCAAAGAAAAAACAAATTCAGTTTGATAGTACAATGTGTCTTTTGATGCAAAGAAAACTGCTCTGATCCGCGGTGCAGAGTCTAGTTGGAGGCCTGTAGCTAGTGGTGTCCCCCAGGGGTCAGTCCTCGGTTCAGTCCTGTTCAATTTAGTCATCAATGACCTGGATGAAGGCACAGAGTGCTCCCTCAGCAAGTTTGCTGATGACACGAAACTGGGAGGAGTAGCTGATACCCCAGAGGGCTGTGCTGCCATCCAGAGGGACCTGGACAGGCTGAACAACTGGGCGGTGAAAAACCTCATGAAATTCAACAAGGCCAAGTGCAAGGTCCTGCACCTGGGGAGGAATAACTCCAGACACCAGTACAGGCTGGGGACGGACCTTCTGGAGAGCAGCTCTGCAGAGAGGGACCTGGGTGTCATGGTGGACGATGAACTCCAAAAATGTATATCCTAAAATCATGAATTATTTAATTGCGATGGAATTAGAACTTTAACTTATGTAGGATGTATGTTGAGTTAGTTTATTTCAGGATTATTAGCTCTGATTTTTTTAAGTTTTATTTTGAAAAAAAAATCATGTTTAAAAGTTTAGTTTAAAATATGCAAAACCTGAATAAAAACCTTCTCAATAGCTCATCATCTAGCAAACAGTAAATGCACAATGTGCTAGCAATTAAACATTTGCATTCAATCACAGTACTTTAATCAACTAGGAAAAAGGACCAAAATTTTAGGACTATAAAAATTAAAATAAATGCAAAAAAATTAAAAATGGAACCTATTTCTTGGAGGAAAGAGAATAAAGGAGTTAAGCACAGACACACTGGCCCACACGGGCTGTTACATAGAGTCTAAGAAAGACAGAACAAATGTAGAGCACATTTTGTCTAAAAAACACTTTTCTGTAAACATTTTGCTAATGCTCTTAAAAGTAAACATTTGACTTTATTAAAGTATAGAGTTTTTTCAGCTCTACTGCCAGAGTTTTTCCTGCCAAACTGCCCCTCTGTCATAGAAATACAATAATGGAATTAAAAACTTTAGTTTTGAATAAATAATGTTCAGTAAAATTTCTGCATCTTCAGAGAAGGAATCAGGCTCCCACAGTTATTTAATAGTACAATTATTTCACTCCAGCTATGCAGTTTATTTTACCACTTAGTTAAGCATCAGAAGTGTTAGGTTAAACTTAAAAATGCTTACCCTACCTTGCAAAGGATAACAAGGTCTGAACTGTACTGACTCTCAGGAGTCAAATACTTTTGAGTTTTCAGAGAGTGTAATCCACCATTGTCCTAAGAAACCAAGAGGATTTCTGTAACATCATATTCCCAACCATCTTGTGACACTAGTTAATCTAACACGCTAAAAGCTTTTGAAAATATTTTATCTTCAAAACTTGAATGCATCTAGTAAATATTTTAACGTAAATGCTTTAGTGAAAAGAGATCTTTATAAACTGAACACTCCAAACTCTCAGGATGCCGAGAGTTAGCTTGCCAGTAATGGGCACTGGGATTAAAATAGCTCTAATGGAATTATAACTACTTTGAAAGAAAGAATGAATCTGACAAGCACTGTTTTTAAAGCATCCTTATATAAAAAAGACTAAAAACGTAGTATTAAGATGTAACATTAATTCAATAGAAAGCAGATTTAAAAGTGATACATACTTTGCCTATGAGATTACCACTGTGGTATTCAGGAGGTACTTGAACTCAAAGAAAAGGTTTGTGGCTGGCAACCTACTCCAAATTGAAATGAAACAAACAAAAGGAAACACCACCACAAAACATGGAAGCATAAGAATCAAAAAGACAGACATGATATATGAATTGAGCAATTATTAAAAAAAAACAATATAAAATTAAAATAGATACTTATAGCAGGTCCATATTTATAAAAGCAAGAAAAACTGGCGCAGTGCTTTCCTACTAAGAAGATAAGATTTCTATTTATATATGTTGTTTGTCTGCACATCTCCTTATGTCATCATTAACATGCTCTCAGCAAGCTTAATTTCATCAACCTGACAGATTTATTGCCAAAAATTTAACCATATCCAAATACTATACATGCACTCCGGGAGACAGTAACATAGCCAGGAAAACCACCCTTCCTAAATATACTTTTAAAGTCCTTAGTTTATGTTTTATCAATAGTAATAGTAGTCTTGGTTCCCACTTCAATCCACTGGGACTTGTAAACTCTAGAATGCTCAATGTAATGTAAGTTCAGCTGCCAAAATCTTTTTATTTAGTTTTCTTAAACATTTATAACCCTCAAACAATATAGTCTAATTTATACCACTGATGAAACTCCGAAGAGACTTTCTGTCAATTGCATTAAAAAGTCATTTTTTAACATAAAAAGTCCTTGCAGCAAAGATAAAAAACAATCCTGATCCCTTTGAATCAAGGGGATTTTTTGCTAATGACTCCTCCACAGCCCAGACATTATTTTCTGCATGTTATAAGAGCTGCTACAGGATTTAGGAAAAATCCATTTAAATATCTAGAAATACTTCAACAGGTCCACAGACCTAAGTGTAGCAAAAAAAGCCTTTTGCTTTCATAACCATCTTACTTTTCTTTAAATATTTTCCTTGAAAACAATTAATAGGCTTATCCAAATTTCCTCAGACATACTATCAACTAAATGAAAAACAATGGATAACTCTTTCTCTTCATATTCTGTACTCGCCCTAATAATTTTCCAGAGTGGAAAATTCTGGCTTACAGTGCCATATTCAAATGAAGCAGATGCATTGAAGAATGCATCTCAAACTAGGGACAGCAAAAGACAGACAGCAAAAGTTTCTAGAAGGCCTTTTCATTTTGTCTCCCACTTGTAGGAGTTTTTAAAAAGCCCTTTGTATACCTTTCCCTTCACTCTATCTTGGATTTTCTTATGCTCCATTCCTTGAAGTTCGCAACAGGGTTAGCAACAAAATGTTGCATCAAAATAAAACAACTTTTCCATAGGTTTTAGCTGTTTGGTTTGGAGAAGGATGTGGGGAGTTGTTTGTTCGCTTGTTTGTTTTTAACTAAAGCAATACTGCTTTTGGAAATCCTTGGATTTTTATTTCTCTTATAAATCGATAGCAATTGGAGGTCCAAAACACCTTCTCCATGAGATAGATAGAAAATAGATAAATGCATTTTCCTCTACCTTCCAATCCAAAAACATTCAGTCTGCTCTCAAACACTGATTTATTCATCAGGACACATAAAACTGACTCTTCTGTAAGACTGGATATTTGTGATTCATTTTACAGGTGATTATTTTGACAGAAACTAGGGAGTCATGCATATTCCCTGAGTCAAATTAGAAGAAAACGGTCCTCAAAGCTCTTTCTTTTCAAGAAAGAAACCTAGCTGCAGGAACACGGAGATCACTGAACTTCAACTTCATGCCAGGGCAATTCTGTCTTGGGAGTTCTGATGCTATAGCCAGTAATTATTTCTTCATGTATCTCAGTGTGAAATAAATTATCAATACAGAATTTTAATTGCTTTTTGGGGATAGCCAAGTAGAACTAAGTCATACTATCTCTGAAAGAAAAAGTAGTGGAAGCTACATTCCCCATTCTCCTGGTCTTCCAGGCTTTTTGCAGATATAAAGCTATTAAATCTCTCACAGACTTGCTCCACCTCAGAAAGATGCTCTCTGATTTTCAGTATTAGATCAGCTAAACACTTGGGCAAATCCCAGGTGAACTGTTAATCACTTTTCTATGTATTGTCCTCAGCTTTATGTTCAAATTCCTTGTCTGTGCACATGACCTAAATAGGATATAAATAGTGAAGATGAGGGCAAGGAATCAGCAAAGGTTCACAACTACAGTATCCTGGGTAGGAAGTTTCACTTGTGCTGCTGGAAAAATGGTGTTCTGTGCCTTACAGCAATGTTTTTGTCCTTCTTCCTTTTAAACACAGGGCAAATATGTGGCCACAAGAAGTCAAAAGATTCTTCATTCAAAACCAGCAATAGCAACCACATGGCTACCTCTGGGTTGGAAGATGGCTTAGCAGTTTGGAGATCTATTCTCTTCACAATAGATCGGCAAACCTAGCAAAGAGTATATTTAAGCTCCCTCTGCTCTTCCATAGCTATAGCAGAGGCCTAACCACAGTGCAACCAGGAAACATGCAAGGAAAATACTGCAACAGCAGTATTAATTCTTGTAACTAATATTCAACATTTAAACTGCCATAGCTATGTAACTAGGCACTTGATCGGACATAGAAAATGCACGCTGATTCTGTCACTATGTAACTACTGCAGCAAGCCTCATTATCAAGAAGCTTCAAACAAAACATTGCTGATGCAGTTGTGAAATAATTAACCAAGCAAGGAAGCAATGAGAGTGTCATGGGCCAGTGACAAATTGCATGCCTCTCAGACCTCACTGCATCGGGAAGGAGAGGAAAGCAAACATCTATCCAAAGTCAATTCAAACGTAGGTAAACAAAGCTTTATCTTATTAATCTTCTTGCTTATTGGCATGCTGTCAGTAATTTCTGATCAAACAAAAAAAAAAAGAGAAGGAATTATGGGAACACATTAAAAGATAATTTGCTATCTAATAAAAGAGAATATAAAAAATTCAAACAACGTGAAAGGGTCAAAAATCCATGCTTGGTATTTGAAGCCAGTTTGTTTTTTTCACTGCATTTTACTAACAATTGTTTTGTTAAGTTAAGCACTCAAAGAAAGTGGAGTAGACAAAACAATATTTTTAAAGGGGGGATCAGGACCCCAGTTTCAGCATCCCTCCCTGCTCCTTTCACTAGCCACATTAAGAGGGCAAGAGTTTCCAGGTCTAATACCACAGCCCTCTGTAGGAAGCATGTCACCAGAAATGAACCTATCTGTTTATTTCCTCCATATCAAGGTGAAGACAATCAACCAAAGGAAAAGATTGCAGGCTGCTAATCTGACCATACTACACTAACCTAGTCATGGGCCACTCTGCATTTATTCCATATGTGGAGTAATCACAAAATGCCTCAGTCCAAATTCTCCTGACTCTGGAGGGGAAAAAATCCCCCTAATTTGTGCACTCATGTGACATTTTGATTGTGGTCTTGTGAATGCTTGTGGAGAGCAGCATTCCACACTGTACACCAAAGGTGAAGCTAGTTCAGGTATCACCAACACAAATGGGAGAATGACCTGAACTTACTCATGTGCTCAAGCTGATCTATCTTTAGCCTAGACACAGTGCTGTTGCCAAGAGTAAACAGCAACTCAAAATAAACTGCTGTTAACAGAAGCATTGTCTTTTCTCATCCTCTTTTAAATTGTCACTTTGGAAAAATCTAAGAACATTCTGGTATTTTAGTCATGCTCTGTGTTCTTCGGAAGAAAATAAAGCTTAAGGTATACATGGAAAAGCTGAAGGGAAGAAATCAAAGTTTAAGATTTTAGCAAATTCAATATTCCTCAGTATGACAACATTCACTGTTCAATAAAAACAACTACTAATGTGACTTGAAGTAAAAATATACACAATTGTATAAGATATTGTGCTATATTGCAAGAAACAGAAAGTAACTAGCATATTTCATCTTCCTTCAGGTATACCTACCTGTTTGGTTTTATGGTCACTAAGAGTAAGAATCATTTTGTTTCAGGAAACAAGTTTTTGCACTCCTAAGTAAAATCTCAGTCTGTGAGCAAGAAGCTGGGTATGCAGTGACCAAAATAGTTTGATATACCAGTCCTATAAAAGCCTCACACACACATACACATTTGCAAAAGTGAGTGAAAGTGACATCGAATTTCTGAGTTTACATTTTGATCTATGAACCCTACATATATAACGTATCTAATGGCACTTTTCTAGAACTTAAGAAGGAATGTAAGTTTGCCCACTAGATTGAATTGTATGCAGGGCAAACAGATTTATTTCAAGCATACAAGGCATATACCATGTCTTGGCAGCTTTATTAGAGTTGCTTCAAATGTAAAATCCTCATTTTTTGTTTTCAAATGCATGTGGATTTAATACTTACTGTGTTTTTCTGGGATACCATATCCTGAAAAGAATAGAAGAGAGAATAAAAATATTTGTCATTTGTACTGGGAATTTTATCTCCAATAAAATCAATTGGTATACATACACACATGTACATACATACTTTCCCAGAGTAATCCATATATCCTGCCACAATAAGTTACAAATAAAGGGATGAAAAAATGACAAGAAAAGTCTCTGTAGCTCAGGTTGGGGGGAAGAACAGATTCCAAGAAGAAATCTATTTAAAGAGCTCAAAAGAGGAAGAAAGCTGGTACTTACCAGTAACTGGAGTTTCTTAAACAGGTAGTCCACAGACCCAATCATACTTCAGGCATTTGTGAAACAGAAACATTCAAGTCTAGAGACATTCTCTGAAAGTGTATCCTTAAGACACCTAGGTCCCTTCTCTACCTTGATGGACACAGACCAAGACATGCTTTCAACATCCTAATTCTTCTCATCTTGACATCCCCAAAAAATGGCAAAAGAGAAATCAAAAAATAATGGAGATGTAAAATAGATATGAAAGATCTCCAGTTACCTCCTTCTTCAACTGTTGGCCTACATGTCCCATGAACATTACTTGGTGAAACTGAGCAGAACTCTAGATAAACCACTCCACATGCTAGACCAGATGAGACTCTAGGCAAGGTTGTTGATATAATTATGTGCTCCAATAAGTGAAGATTGCTTGAGCAAATTCCTACCTAAAACAGCCTGAAGTCTGCTTGGACAACCACTGCACAGAAATGACAGTGCCCATGCACTCCTTTTCTCAACAACAGGAACCAAAGAGGTTTAGTTCTGTGAATACGACCATCTTGAAATCCAGACTATATATCCTTTTACATTCTTTGAACTAGTAGGTTTTGGAAAGAGTACCGATGAAACTGGAGATACAGATCTTCTTCAGGATGTGCCCTATGAAATGAGTCAGATAGAGTCAGGTCACCTGAATTTCGTGTAACTTCTCTGTAGGAATAACAGAAGCCAGAAATACCATCTTTAGAGCAATTAGAAGAGCTACTGAAAAGAGGCATACACAGCAGGTTAGATCGAATTAAAGTTAGGAATTCCTAAAGAGAAGAAGGTAAATTGAAAAAAAAGACCACTCATGAAACAGAGAATAAAGAAGAGTCAACAGATCAAAACACAAAAAGTGCATATTAAAGCACCAACACCTTACCGATACCTTATTCATTAAAACTCTTAAAGTCTTATAGAACTTAAAATCTGATCAAATGCTTCAGAACAAAAGCTCAGACACAGCCAAAGTATCACATATCTGAAAATAAATTAAGTCCATCTAGCTAAACAAGTACATCCTCCAGCATGAGACTGTCTACTGTTAATGAAGACTGGGGAGAAAGTCTCTTACTGGGGAGAAATAGATTAGTCTGACTGAAAACTATCCAGTATCAAACCATGAAATGTATCAAGAGATCAAGGAAACTTCTTCACTGAAAAACTCCAGGAAAGATCCCTATTTGCCTTCTAAAGCATTCCTTAGAAGAATGTTGTATTAGTATGCTTGTGTGGTATCCATCAGTGAACTGGGGCTCAATTACAAGAAGAGACATAAAGGACTTCAGGGTTGGACTGAACCGTGCCCCTGCGCCCCAATTAAGCTATGTTACCCTCTGACCCAGCAGATCTCTTCAATTTAGTTCTAGCAACTTGAATAATACCTTCTGATCCTGAAGACAGACATGCACGGGGCCTGTGTTGGCCCAAAAGGTACACAAATAATGAAGAGACAAAGAAAAGATCCAGTGGGGTCTTAATGCCACTGCACAGTTCCCAGCAAAGATGTATGAAGTCAGATAATGGCTTTTTTAGGCCTATGTGATCAAACCATGCTCCAGTGTTCCCAGAAGTCATGTTGCTTGTATTGTGACTCTTCCACTCTTGCAACAAAAGCTCCAGATCTGACATTTCCAGGACTTGCTAGACAATCTACAGAACAGTCTACAGCCTTGGACGCATCCTGGAGGCTATTCAGCACTCCAGTTTTAGAGCATGTGCTCGAGTATGTGCTTGGCATATATAGAAATAAAAGCCATTCACTGAGCTTCCCAGCACTCCAGTTTTAGAGCATGTGCTCCAGTATGTGCTTGGCACAAGATGTAGAAATAAAAGCGATTCACTGAGCTTCTCATTGGGTGGAGACACATAGATGACTAACCTGTGCTTCACAAACTTTGGTATGTGCTGGAGGAGAGCCAAGCTGATCAGAACATCTGAGAGACAGTACAAAAGAAAGGTAAAAAATGAAAAGGAAGGAACTCTGCACCCAGGTATATTACAACTGCAGAATGAAAAGTTGTATGTCTGCCCAAACAAACTAACTAGAGGAATAAAAGGCATGAAATTATGCCCTTCCGCAAACAGTAATATCTTATAATGAATGATGGGAGAAGCTCCATCTCTGAGATTTGGTGATTCCAGGTCACCCAGAATGTGAATGTATGTGTGGTGACCCCTGAAGAAAGAAAGTATGAGCTACTAGACACATGACAGGAGACTCAATGACATTGAAAGCAGGAGGAAAAATGAAAGAAGAGCTGCGATGGAAGAGAGCTTTTCTGGAAAAAGACAAGGAGATGCAAATAAAACTAACACTAAACTCAACACTCTTATGGCATCAAGAAAGATTACAGAATCCTGAAATCCTGAAAAGGTTTTCTGGACACCTGTGGCATGAATAATGCGGACAGTACAAGACAGTAACTCCAAATAAGAAGAAAAAAAAAGAAAGAAAGAAAAAACACTTTCATTGAAGGTAGAAAGAAAAGAGATGATATTTAAAGAAACAATGGGTGAGGATCCAGAGGAGAAAGAAGTCTAAGCATGATCCGAAACAAAGAGAACATATGCTGAGAAAGACAGAATCATCCCCAGTATGCACCCAGAACTGCAATTTAAGTGTAATAGCGAGTGCTATCCTACTATAAAAATGAACAAGCCTATAAAGAGATTTGATGAAGATCTTTCTTCACCAAACAGTAATAAAAACATTCATCATTTAGGAGGCAATCTAATCTAATCCAAAAGAAATGCTCTAATAGCAGGAACAGGTTGCAATACATTCCTTGTTCAAGTAAAGCGTCATTATTAAACAAGATATAATATTTATATGTATCCAAATTAAAAGAGGGAGAGGAAGGAAAAAAGACTTTTTGAAAGTCATGAAAATCATGCCCTTGCACTTCTAAACTGAATTGGGTGAAGCAAAATCAATACTACACTACGGATCTGATTTTAGAAACAAACTTTTATGCTGTTATGATCACATTATTTTTGTTAGTGGTAAAACAGCTCAAGAAAAACTGCTTCTGAGTTACAGGCCTAACAGGAAATCACATTTAATGGAAGTTTTAGAAAAGCACAAATATTTGCAGAATCAGGTATTCAAAGGTATTTTTGAAATGAAGCAGATTTTCAAACAAGAATCTTACTTTAAGAGATTGAGCAGTATCAGCATCAGTGTCATAGTAAAGTATGACATTGTTCGCCATATCAAAGCTTTCACGCACACCAAGGTGATAGAACAGTGATGGTTGTTTGGAAATATCACTCATATCCACGACGGCAACATCTGAAATGAGAGAGAGAGGTGAGAATAAAAATAATCTTAAAACTACTTTTATTTTCTTACATAGAGTATAAAATAAATTCTAAAATTGCATGTAAGCTTAGACAGACAAAATCAAAACATTCAAATGAGCAGCATTTTCTCTTGGCGCAAATGAATTTTATCAAGCATGCTAAAGAACAAGAGTATACTCAGGAAATGATCATAGTGTTAAAGTAACGGTAAGGCTAGTTACAAATTCTGCTTGAGGTTATGAAATCACTGTACCGGGAATACCTCAGGTGATGAAGTTGTCTGTATTTGCTCTCTGAGGTAGTCCAGACAGTCCAAAGGCCCAGTAAAATGGAAAGCTCCAAACCTTCATGTGGAACTTCTAAGTTCTACATGCACAGGATCACACAGAACGGTTAAGGAACCTTAGGAGATCATCTAGTCTAACCCTCTTCGTAAAGCACATTTCAAAGCACCTGGAGCACGTTCACAAGGATTGCCTTCAGATAGCTTTTGAAGATCTCCAAGCAGACTCCACTACCTCTCCTGGTAACCTGCACCAGTGCTCGATCACTCTCATTGTTAACATTTTCCTTATGTAGAGATGGAACTGCCTGTGTTTCAATTTGAGGCTATTGCCTTTCAACCTATTGCTGGGCACCAGCAAAGAGCCCAAGCCCATCCTCTTTATACCCTCCCTTCAGATAATCAAATACATTGATCAGATCCCCTCCCTCAGTCCTCTGTTCTCCAGACTGAACAGGCCCAGCTCACTCAGGGCCTGTTCTCAGGCCTCCTTTCCTCTTAGGAGAGATGCTCCAGTCCCTTCATGATCTTAGCAGTCCTCCACTGGACTTGTTCCAGTAGCTCCATGTCCCTCTTTTACTGTGGAGCCCAGAACTGGACACAGGGCTGAGGGAGAGGATCACCCTCCCTTGACCTGCTAGCAATGTTCTTTCTAATGCCCCCACGATGCCATTGGCCTTCTTGGCCATGTCAGCACATTGCTGGCTCATGGAAATAATGGAAAGCTACCAAACCAAGCTTATCTGAAGAAGCTGAGGCTTGGAGAACAGGAATTTTTTGAGAGTAGAAAAAGAAATGAGTTGTGAAAATTGAGTCTTCAGAGCCACAAGGATTATGGTGTTCAAGGCGACGGCAGTAGGAAATGAGGGGCTTCAATTAGTATTATCCAGAATTCCGCTGATGTTGGGTTGTACTGCAGTCACAAATAGATGTATAAAATGTTGTCAGAAGCTGACCTATGCAGAGAGCTAAAGATAAATAACCCATGTGAGGAAAATCATGTAGGAAACACAGGCAAAACAGAGTAAGTTCATCATTTGGTTCTGATCTAAACCTAAAAGCCAGTACAGAAAGAAGAGGTAACTGCAGAAGGGACATTTATGCTCATGTTTTTCTTGATTATCTTCCATGCTACCTAAGAAAATTTTATTTTAATGATTTTAAAACATCTGTAGCTTTGTGACTATCTGCTTTTAGCATTACAGGAGAGAAGATGAATTTAAATTCAATGTATTCATAGCACTAGGCTCTTGGCAGTTAAGCCACTGGGGAATCTGAGGTTCAAACCAGATTCCAGAGACTCTGGGCAGCTGAGCAGTAAATCCCACATCTCTGAAAGGGGAACAGGCAGTGCCTGTATCTATGGAAAATGACAGAGAAGGTGGAACTACTGACATGCAAGAAGTAAAAAAGCAGGCCTGATGTGTAAGAGCCAAACATAGCAGCCAGTTTACCTGGGCTTCACCAGCTGCACATCACAAGATTCAATACCCCATACTCAATACCTGAGTTCCTGGAAAAGCCTGTGACGGATACACATTCCTGGCCAGTCCATCCAGCCATTTAAAGGCTGTGCAAGAACACCACACTGGGGTCCAGCCAGTTCCTCTGGCCATCAACAGACTCCCTGTTAAAAGCATGGGGCTTTTTTTTTGTTTGTTTGTTTTTGTTTTTAAGTCCAAAGACAACAACCTGCCTCACGACCAAAGCATCACCATTCAAGAGCTGAAAAGCAGGAAAAATAAAAAAGTGGCATATAAGAAAGCACCCTTACCCCCGAGGAACCTCAAATTCTGCAACACCAACTAATCCCCCTTTCAGTCCCTCCTTTGGCCATAGTTCTCCACAGTATGGCCAAAGTTCTTGG